CCAACATGCAAATTAGCCTGCAGTACCACTGCTCTACCCATGTGTGCAGCAAAAAGATGTTTTTAGACCAAATATTACAGATTTGAACAAATACGCACAAAAACATCACAATTAGCACAGAAACAGTACTATATAACATTTTAGACACATTCTAGACAGTTTATCAGCTAAAAAAGGTTAATTTTGGTTAAGCTACTCTTTAAGAYGGCCTCCACAGTAGGGTTGGGCAATATTGGCAAAAAAAAWAATCACGATTAATTGTGGTATTTAGCCAAAAACAATTAATTTGATGATTAATTCCCTGGAGTCCCTGGACACCCTTATGTCCTGGTCACATGACCAGTTTAGTGGGAAAGATTTGCTCTTCATAAAAATCTGTTACAAATTGTGTCAAACTTACAGACTTCAGGCTGTGCATCAAATTTTTAAATAGTGTTGATAAATAAGTTACAGAACTTTTTTAATGTTCATCATATCTGAAGCAGAGGAGCACAGAGAGGAGCACAGAGAGGAGCACAGAGAGGAGCACAGAGAGGAGCACAGAGAGGAGCACAGAGAGGAGCACAGAGAGGAGCACAGAGAGGACTCTGCCTGGTGGCATTAATCATATTAATCATCAAGTGCCAAAAAATAATCGATTGTTTTTCTGACGATTACTTGCACACGATAYGATTATGATCAACCCTACTCCACAGCTAACAGAAGCTTTAGTGTGGTAGTATTTGAGAGTGATAGCCATCAGAGAGTCTGAGGGCCAACAGGTGACTCAGATCTTCAGTGGTCCTGTTTACAGTGTGATGTCTTCAGTCTGACTGGTCTTATTCCTGCTGCAGGATGGCTCCTGAGGTGATTCTGGCCATGGATGAGGGTCAGTACGATGGGAAGGTGGACGTCTGGTCTCTGGGCATCACCTGCATCGAGCTGGGTAGGACCTGGCAGGACCTGGCAGGACCTGAGGATGTGTAAGCTGTTAGARGTCTGCTCATAAATGTCTCCATCTTGTCCCCAGCTGAGAGGAAGCCCCCGCTCTTCAACATGAACGCTATGAGTGCCTTATACCAGATCGCTCAGAATGAGAGTCCTGTCCTGCAGTCCAATCACTGGTGAGGCCCCGCCCCCTCACCTGCACATCTGTTTTCACTCTGCTTGTTGTCTGCCCCCACCTGTTTGCCCCCCAGTCTCCAGAGACACGGTGGTCTCTTGGGTGGTCCCGTCCTGAGCTTCTGCTTGTTTTCAGGTCCGACTCGTTCCGCAGCTTCGTGGACTCGTGTCTTCAGAAGATTCCTCAGGACCGGCCCACGTCAGACGTGCTGTTAAACGTGAGCACTGTCTCAGAATCTCTGTGGTGGGGTTTGTGCTCCACACCGTCCTCACCTGTTGTCTCCTCCCCCTGCCCCTCCCCCTGCCCCTAGCATCGCTTCCTGTGCCGCGAGCGTCCACAGACCGTCATCATGGACCTGATCGCACGCACCAAGGACGCCGTGAGAGAACTGGACAACCTGCAGTACCGCAAGATGAAGAAGATCCTGTTCCAGGAAACCCAGCAGAACGGACCTGTGTCCGAGGGAGGGGACGATGAAGAGGTGAGGAGGAWGATGATGATGATGATGATGATGATGATGATGTGAATTTATCTGGAAATCCAAACCAGCAACCTGGATTCTTATTAATGTTCAGATTAATGTTAGCTGTGTTTAGATTAGCTGTAGTAACTGGTCAAACTGAAACTTTGATTTTTGTTTTGACCTGAAATATAATCCAGATTATATCTTGTTTTGACCTGAAGATTAATCCAGATTATAACCTATTCTGTTCTAAAGAATAATCCAGATTATATATTGTTTTGTTCTTAGGTTTAATCCAGATAATACTGTATCTTGTTTTGTCCTGGAGTATAATCCAGATTATAGTTTGTTTTGTTCTGAGGTTTAATCCAGATTATATCTTGATTTGTTCTAAAGTATATGCCAGATTATATCTTGTTTTGTCCTGGGGTATAATCCAGATTATATCTTGTTTTGTCCTGGGGTTTAATCCATATAATATCTTGTTTTGACATGGAGTATAATCCAGATTATCACTTGTTTTGTTCTAAAATATAATCCAGATTATCATTTCTTTTGTTCTGAGATTTAATCCAGAAAATATCTTGTTTTTTTCCTGGAGTATAATCCAGATAATATCTTGTTTTGTTCTAAAGTATAATCCATATTATTACTTGTTTTTTCCTGGAGTATAATCCAGATTATAACCTGTTCTGTTCAAAAGTTTAATCCAGATAATATATTGTGTTGTCCTGGAGTATAATCCAGATTATATCTTGTTTTCTTTTTAGGTTTAATACAGATAATATCTTGTTTTGTCCTAGAGTATAATCCAGATTAAATCTTTTTTTGTTCTAAAGTATAATCCAGATTATCACTTGTTTTGTCCTGGAGTATAATCCAGATTATAACCTGTTCTGTTCTATAGTATAATCCAGATTATTAGTTGTTCTGTTCTATATTATAATCCAGATTATATCTTTTTTGTTCTAAAGTATAATCCAGATTATCACTTGTTTTGTCCTGGAGTATAATCCAGATTATTTTTTACCTGGATTACTGAGATGCATCAGGACAGATTATTAGTTGTTCTGTTCTATAGTATAATCCAGATTATTTTTTACCTGGATTACTGAGATGCATCAGGACAGATTATTAGTTGTTCTGTTCTATAGTATAATCCAGATTATCACTTGTTTTGTCCTGGAGTATAATCCAGATTATTTTTACCTGGATTACTGAGATGCATCAGGACAGATTATTAGTTGTTCTGTTCTATAGTATAATCCAGATAATATCTTGTTTTTTCTTGGAGTATAATCCAGATTATAACCTGTTTGAAGTCAACCTGACGGCAGGTACAGGTGTGTCAGTAAAGGTGAGCTGCTGTGTTTCAGGAGGTGGAGCCCTACCTGCTGCAGACAGGAACAGTGAACAGCATGGAGAGCTCCCAGTCCGTTCCCAGTATGTCCATCTCAGCCAGTTCTCAGAGCAGCTCAGTTAACAGCCTGGCTGATGCTTCAGACGACAGCAGCACAGAGATGGCCATGATGCAGGAGGGGGAGCACACCGTCACCTCCAACAGCTCCATCATCCACAGACCCACTGTGAGTACCCGTCAGCCCGTTAGACCTGTGAGGCTGAAACCCTCTGAAACCTTCTGAAACAATCTGAAACCCTCTGAAACCTTCCAAAACTCTCTGAAACTCTCTGAAACCTTCTGAAACTTTCTGAAACCTTCTGAAACTCTCTGAAACCTTCCAAAACTCTCTGAAACTCTCTGAAACCTTCTGAAAC